CATAGAGCTGTTATAGAATTAGACAAATTAATATATGTGAAGATTTTAGAACAAGCCCTGGACATATTAAACACTGTACTACTTTCCCCTTCTACCTCTAATTCCTTCTGTTACTAAAACCATGTACCATGAATCTTGCTAGAAACCAATCATTTATTAAACCATGTTTCTGTTTTCTGGGTATTTCTTTCTGTCCTTTCTTAATGCTGAAGCTACTAAATATAATTTTGTCTTTTAACATTACAGTGTGATACTATTTATTCATTAGTATAATTTTTTGATGGCGCTGGGAATTGAACCCAGAGCCTCATATGTGCTAGGCAAATGCTCAACTACTGAGCTACAGCCTCAGCCATAATTTTTTTTTTTTTTTTTGGTTTTTTTGAGACAGGGTCTCCCTGTAGCTCCAGCTGGCCTGGAACTCGCTATGTAGACCAGGCTGGCCATGAACTCAGAAAGATCTACCTGCCTCTGCCTCCCAAGTGCTGGGATTAAAGGCATGTGCCACCATGCCCAGTCCTATTAGCATAATTCTTAAGGATTGGTAATGCGATTGTCTTAATGTTACTATTTAGCCTGGTATAAAATGATGGCTCTATCAGGATATGTGGATTTTTACCATTAACATGCAAAATGAAGAGGAACAATATCTTTCTAAAAGGCAAAATAAACATGTATTCTCCTCAAAGCCAAAAGAATATAACGTGTGTTCTACCCTACACTCCTAATTACATTTTCATTGGGCTAGGAGATTCACTTTTCTCTCTCATCAAGCACCTGGGCATCTGTGCATAGCATATGGTGCTAAGCACTGGGAAGGTAACACTGAAGTTAGCTGACTTTCCTGAAGCACACTTTAAAGTGATTCAAGAGGAAACACTGGGAAAAGGAATGGACTCCAGATGATGAAGTCAAAGGTTAAACTGATGATTAGGTATTTTCTGAGAAAGGATTCTGGGCAGAAGTTGGAAATGAATAAAATCAGGGGTTAAGAATAGCTCTATTGTGTACACAAAGTGTTTTAGTATTGTCAGTAAAATGCATAGTGGGGAAGAGGCAGGATGGGAAATAAGACAGTGCTGTTTGGGCCCAGGATTGAAATTCAAGTTTATAGTGTGACCAGTATTAAAAAGGGAACAAGACAGGTTTTATTTTTGTGTGTGTGCACATGTGTGTGTGTGTGTATGTGTAGGCCAGAGTGTCTTCCTCTAACACTCTCCACCTTATTTTTGGTCTTTTTCCCTGGAGACCCAGCTGGCTTGTAAATTGCTGGCCTCGATCTCACAGAGATCCACCTGCCTCTGCCTCCTGAGTGCTGGGATTAAAGGCGTGGTGGTTCACGCCTGGTTGTCCACCTTATTTTTCACTTCAGGTCTCTCACTGAATCTGAAGCTCTGTTTGACTACACTGGCTGGTCATCGAGATTCAGGGATCTGCTTGTTTCCTCTTCTCCAGTGCTGGGATTACAGAAGGACACTGTGGGTCTCTCTTCCCTTGTACGTCCTTGGATCCGTGAGGACAAAGGGAGCAGAGGTGGTGAGCAGAGTCAGGATGGCCGTATGACAGAAAAAACCTGGGGGTCAGCTTCAGTGAGACAGCTCATTTATTCTGGGGGGTGGGGGGGATATAGGGTGAAGACAGCAGCCAAAGCTTTACCGATAGGTGTTCATAGTATGCTTTATTTGCATGTGGCAGGGGGACCCTATCATGTAGAAAGGGTAGGTGGGATGGAATGGCTGTAGTGCAATGCCTAATTATCATACAGGAAAAGCCTAGGGGTAACTTTTGCAGGGAACTATGTCAAAGGTCATGTTCCAAATAAGGTCAGGCATCTGTGCTTGGAGACACTCTCCAAATAAGGTCAGACAGAGAGTAGGAAGCCCCTGCTGAGAAAGGGAGTCCTCCATTTTGCACAGAGCTTGGGGAGCTATCTGGACATGGTGGACTGCGACCTTAAACGGCAGGGTCCCCCAACAGAGCACTGCCCTGACCTGGCTTTTAAATCAAGAAATAAACTGTTTCAGAAGGATAATAACAAAGGAGACAAAAGATAGAGATAGAGTTGGATTGAAAGTAGAGATATACAAAAGTTAATATATGTGATAAGCCAGGTATAGTAGAACATGCCTGAATCCTGGCATTTGGAAGGTAGAGGCAGGATGATCAAAAGTTCAAGGCCAGCCTAGGTCAGAGCAGAGGCCAGCCTGGAATACACTGAGATACCCTACCTCAAACAAAAACAAAACCAAAAAGAACAAAGTAAAGAAAAACCCAGACTATATGAATGAAAGCAAGCCAGCTTCAAAATGTTGAGGATGTAAAAACACTCATCTGGATGTAGGGTATGATGCAATAGGAAAGCAGTGGAAGACAGATCTCTAGTTTTGAACAAGCACAGATGACATTAAGGGATTAAAAACACAAGCAAAGTAAGCTGGGAAAGAGGAGAAAGGAACAGGCTGTCTAGACATTCTGTGTTTAGCTAAGCCACTGAAACAGACAGTTGTAAATGTAGGGCTGGAGCTGGGAGGGCAGGGTTGAAATGCCAGCTTTGAGAGTATAATAGAAACCCTGGGAGGAGGTGAGGTCATCAGGTTAGAGTAAAAACACAAAGAGGCTCAAGAATGAAACCCTCACATTTAAGGGGCACAGAGGAGTTAGCAAAAGGATGCGGGAAAATAGCTAGGACAAGAACGAGACCAGCAGAAGAGACCCTGAGAAGGGAATGGCTAATTATGCCCACCGGCAGGAGGAGACAAGTGGAAGACTGAGAATAAACCAGTGATGAACAGTGGTATGACTTCACCTATCAGTGACCTTAATAAAAGGCTGGAGTGGGAGCGAGTGACCAAGCCAGTGGCAGTCAACTATTCTTTTGTCTATTGGGAAAGAGGCAGTAACAATGAAGGGAGCCATGAGGGTGCAGTATATTCACAACAGACTTGAGATTTCGGCACAAGAAGTCTTGGTGTTTATTTACAATAAGAGATTTCATCTATTGGTCAAAAATTAGGATTAAGTTGAAGACTCCATCCATCCATTCATCCTATACACACATATTTATATCCCATCTATCTTAGACTGGAACACAAAGACTTAACCTTAGTTTGAAGAGGGTAAGAATCACAACTTAGATTTGACTTTTATTTGGGTTACTATGAAAGCAGTTGCAAACAGTGCAAAGGATATAGTCATGTGCCACATGATGTTTTGGCCCAAACTGGGCCTCAAAACTGATGTGGTCCTATAAGAGTCTATCTCCTGCTGAGATCAGACAGCTTAAGCAGATGTTAACATTTGCACAATGAAACTGCCTGAAGACACAGTTCTCAGAACATAGCCCAGTAAGTGATGTGTGGCTCTAAATAAGGTTGCAGTAGGTCAACTCAGCTGCCTACTTCCTTTGTATATCACAACTGGGTGGTCTCAGAAGTTCTAGCAAGTTAAATGTCAGAAAAGCATAGTATTATGGACTCCCCCCCCCCTTTTTTTTTGCTTAAAAATATCTAGATGTCCATATCAGAAAAAACTTTAGATGAAATTTGTTTCTAAAAAAGTCACATTGCTCAGATAAATGTCTGAATCCTTGGCACTCTGGCCACAGCTGTGGGCAGTCTTGCCTTCCCATGGACATTTATCTAGCACCTTTTCTTGAGAAGACCTGGCAGGCCTCCAACAAACAGAGCAACCTGAGGCAGAGTTCACAGTTCTTGCTTCTAATACAGCCTGATATTCACGAGAATGAGCACATCACTGCTATTCCACTGGGGTCCAGGAACTTTTCTATTTTCAAAAAATCAGAGGAAGAGATTATTTTCAACCCGACAGCCTTACGAATCCAGCTACTTCTTTGTATGTGTGATGTATGTACACATGAGAAGGCACATCTCTGCACGTATGGGCAGAGGTCAGAGGGCATACATGTGTGTACACACCTGGAGGTCAGAGGGCTTTGGGTAGCCTTCTCTTTTAAATTCTTACTCCTTTGAGACAGGGTCTCTTCCCAGAATTTGGAACTTGAATTTTTCAGCTAGGCTGGCAATTAGCCAAGCCCCAGAAGTCTTCCAGTCTCTGCTCCCCAAGTGCTGGGGTTATAGGAAGCTTGAGATCATACCTAGCTTGCTAGGTGGGTGCTGGGATCTAAACTAAGGTCTTCATGGTTGTGCAGCAAGCACTTTTAATCGCTGATTCACCTTCCAGCTAGCTAATCCATTTTCTATGATCATCAGTATAAGGACCCCTGACATAATGGTGGCAAGGGATGTTATCTTTGGGGAATCTCAGGGAAAGCCCAGATCAAATCTGGCTCATTTTACTCAGGGAAGCCTTCTTGAGATTCATAATTTGCAATGAGTATTTCACATGTGATACACAGGTTAGGGCAACATCAACACTAGAGACTGCCTATAATACTTTGTGAATCTGAAAGTTTGATATTTCCTCCATACCTGGACAGAAGCACTTTAAAAAAAAATCAGTTCTCAGAGCAGGGAACACAGCTCAGAGGTAGAGTCTTTGACTATCATTCATGAGGTCTTAGTTCAATCCCTAGTACTACAAAATAAAGACTATCAAGATTAAAAAACAAAATGACAACAACAACAAAAAACAAACAGGCTGTCAAGTGGTATTTTGGTACTTTGAGCTTGGTTTTGGTACACCTGGAACTCTATGAGACACTGTTTCAAACATATTGAAACAGTGTTGCATAAAACATATTCTTAGTCCCTTAAAAAGACCTGCCAGAGATTCTCACAAATGCCGGACATCTTTCAGCAGAGGCAGCAGTTACTTGGGTACTTTTCGAGTCAGGCACTTCATAAAAACTTGTATTTCAGGTGGGAAAAAAATCTGATAAAAAAAACTCTTTTCTTGATCTTTTTGATTCTTGTTCACTTTTGCTAGTCTAAAAATGTCTAATTTTGATTAGAAATCTGAAAATGACAATTACGATTTCTGAGCATATCTTAAACTATAAAAAATTACCAATGACAAAGAAAAAGGCTTATATTACATTTAATAGCGTTAATGTTGAAGACACTTCATAGTTTCATGAAGGGTAACTACAGGTAAAGTGCTCAATGTAACAGTTACCTCATCAAGAAACAAAATGCTCTAAGCGATATTTTGAACACTGCTTCAAAGAGAGATAATGTTTATAGTTGTTGGAGGTGCTGTACACAAAGAGAGATAATGTTTATAGTTGTTGGAGGTGCTGTAAAATATCTGCTGAGACTCCTAGCTGTTTAACTAAATTGGCTGTCTGTTCTAAAATCCAAATGAGGCTTGGCTTTTCCAAATGTGCATGCTCTTGTGTTCTACAACATTCTAAATGTGAACCATCTATCCCACTAGGGCTCCTGTCACAGTTTTTGTTAAACTCAGCATTATTTCCACAGAGTCTTTCATCTTTAGCTTCATCAATCTTTTTCTCAGCTGGAACTACATGACATAAGTCCATATCCTCAATGGAGTCCAATAAATCTGTAACATGGGGCTGTGGAGTGATTGATTTCAGATGTCTGAGCACACGCTCTTCACACTGGCCAACTGCATCCAGAAGATTATTTATTTTACTGATCAAAGTCGAACTATTATCATGAAGGTGACACCAGGAAAGCAAAGCACTGAAAATATAAAAAAGAGTTAAATTGGAGAAAAAAATTAGTCACAGACATTTAGAGCACTAAGCCCTACGTTTTCCTTCTAGAAACACTGCAAAAATGGATTAGTGACAATAATGCAAGTCAAAATCAGGAACATAACGGTGTAAATAACATTAACAAAGATGGTATCTTTTAATATCCATTAATCAAGAAGACTTAATCATATATACTGCTTTAATTCATATTCCCTCCTTTATAGCTCTGCATCTACTTTAAAAAAAGATATTTTATTATTTTAATTTTATGTGTATGAGTGTTAGGCCTGCAGGTAGATAAGTGCACCCGTGTCATGCAATGCCCAAGGAGGACAGACGAGGCTGTTGGATCCTCTAGAACTGGAGTTACAGTTGTTAGCTGCCATGGGGGTGCTGGGATTCGAACCCAGGTCTTCTGCAAGAACAGTGTTCTTAACTGCTGAGCCATCTCTCCAGCCCCCTGCATCCACTTTTTACTCCATACTTGATGACTATGTAACTTCTCTTTAAAAATTTTATTATATTTTATTATTTTTGTTATATTTTATTTTTATTTTATGTGTGAGTGCAATGCCTGCATATGTGTAAGTGCACCTGTGTCCTGCAATGCCTGGGGAGATCAGAAGAGGGAGTCGGATCCCCTAGAACTGGAGTTACGGATGGTTGTTAGCTTCCATGTAGGGGTTGGGAATGAAACCCAGGTCCTCTGCAAGAGCAGTCAGTGCTCTTAACTGCTGGGTCATCTCTCTAGCCCCTGGTTACTATGTAACATCTTTAGAGAAAGATCAGAAAAATCATTTCCTGTCTTTTAAAAAAAAATATGTGTATGAGTGTATTGCTTGCATATATGCAGTGTACCAGTCTTGTGTAGTGCCTGTGGAGATCAGAAGAGGGCATTAGATCCCCTGGAACTGGAGTTATGGACAGCTGTTAGCCACCATGTAGGGGCTGGGAACCAAACCTGGTCCCCTCTGCAAGAGCAGTCAGTGCTCTTAACTTCTGAGTCATCTTTCCAGCCCCAGTTTCTCGCTTTTAAAAACGGAAAACCTAGATTTGTAAAACTATTAGAAAATACTATAATTAGTAATACTTTAAAGACTTCATGACAGGCTACAAAGTATTGTCAATGCAGTCTCAAGTCAATGTTTTTGTTCTGGAGTACCTGGGCAGCCAGAGCATCATGCATGTGAGGCCAGCACTCTACCAGCGAGCACAGCTCCAGGCTGTTTCTCCTTTAAGGACACCAAACAGCTTCTAAATTAGTAATTCTTAATCTTTGTCACATAATAGAATCACCACTAAAGGTACCATTTTCTTGAAAAAATGTTAAGAATTCTACTTAAAAGAGTTAATATTTGTCTTTACTTTTCTGATAGACATACCGTATTCTTCCTTCCAGACTGTTCAGGTAATATAATAATGGTGCTGGGGAGTAAAGCCATGGCTCTGTGCAGACTAAGCACACTCTACCACTTAGCTACATCCCTAGCTGAAGGTATTTTAAAGGTGAAATCAGCTGAAATAAAAGATTCAGCAATAGCTTTCTAAGCTTAAAAAGGATTAATTATCCTGATGACATGAAGGTGAACACTTGGTTACCTTTTCCTGTTGTACTAACCTAAAAATTCTGGTTCTGACAGTTCAATTTTGTGTGTATTTTTTTTTTTTTTTAAGACAGGGTCTTTAAAAAGACCTGTAGTCCTAGCTGGGCGGGAGCTGGCTATGCAGACCAGGCTGGCCTCAATCTCATAGCAATCTGCCTACCTGTGCCTCCTGAGTACTGGGATTAAGCCTGGCCAGTTCAGTTCTTTTAGGAGCCTCAAAACAATGGGTTTGGGTTTTAAAAAATATTTTATTCTTTTTTAAAATTAGTGGTTTTTTGTAGCAGTTCCTGATTTTCTCCACAGAGGCTATTTATAAAGTACCCTCATTGAAGCTGACGGCTGCCCATATTCTTAGCCATCTGACTACTTGGCTCTTCCCTCTGCCAAGGCATCCTGACAGATATTCAATGTTCAGGACTAAAACAAATGGGACTCTTTTTCTACTAATAATTACAACTTTCATAATGTACTTGCATGTTCTGCTACATGCGCAAGTATAGCTTTATTCATAAGGTGAAGATCTTTTACTTAGGGATCAGTGGTAGTCCAAATACCCAAAAACGTACACCTTCTTACTATTTCTCTGCAAAGAAGAAAAAGCATCAGACACACACATTTTATTTTGGGAAGCAGTTACTATTTTATGCTCTGAGGGCTCATGTATCCAACACAAGGAAAAACACTTTAAAAGCATTTTAATTTTACATGTTATTACTTACATAAAAATCCTCCATTACAATTGTGCTTCAAATGATTCAGCACTTAAATTACCTCAATGTTCCCCTGAGTAGTCCATAGTTTATAATGACTTCTGCACCTTCCTTATAACCTTGATTGAAGCCCTGTTGAAGAGCAACTGCTTTGCCAGCATCTACTCCATCTCTGTAACCTTCCTAAAATAAGAAACTGCAGCTATAACTAACACCAAGTAAATAATTTCCTAGAGAAGAACAGAATCAACTGATGTAACAGGGTTTTACTGTATTAATTGAATATAATATGGCAGAGACAGAAAACCAGAGCAAAATGCTTCTCCTAAAAGCTTAATACTGCTCTGCACATGCCTTTAATCCCAGCAGCTGGAAGGCAGAGGCAGGGAGGTTTCAAGGCCAGCTGGGGCTACAGGAAGACCGAGTCTCAAACACACACACAAACGCACAGAGCTTATTATTGGTTTATCTTTCCTTATCAGTCTGGCTGGCATGGAACTCATAATCCTCCTGCCTTGTCCTCCCAGCTCATGAAAGGAGTGTGCTGCCATGCTATTCCTAGCTCACTTTGGAAATCTAGGCTTAACAGGTAAACTTTAAGCACCGATTCTTACATTTAAAAAATGGTGCTAGAGATGTCTTCACAAAAAGGAAATATGGAAAATTACGTCTGCTTTTGTCAGCTGATGAGAATGGTATAGGATAGTTAAGGAGGCTGGCAAAGTAGGGGAAGAGGAAGCTGTTTTAGAAAAAGCAGACAGGAAATCCGATTTTAGAATTTTAATTTTTATTTTAAAATATTTTATTATTTTTATTTTTTTATGTGTATGTGTGTATTGCCTGCATGTAGGTAAGTGCACCTGGGTCATGCAGTGCCTGCAGAGGACACAAGAGGCTGTTGGATCCCCTGGAACTGGAGTTACAAACAGTTGTTAGCTGCCATGTGGGTTCTGGGATTCCAACCCGTTCTTTTGCAAGAATAACATGTGTTCTTAACTGCTGAGCCATCTCTCCAGCCCATGGTTTTAGAAATTTTGCTTGATTCCTAAAGTGAACTGTGGTGTAGAGATCTCTGTCCTCAACACAGGGTGTCACTGTACTCAAAGGTGCTCAGCAGTTACTGGGCTAGCCCCAGGTTCCTAAATATTCTTGTAACTAACAACTTGGTTGTTGGACTAAGCAAATAATATCTTACCAGGAAGTTAAATTAGGGCAGATCACCACTGAAGCTTTAGAAAGGTAATGTAACGGCAGGTAACTAACTATACCAGCAGATCTTACAATTAGTTCTTACCCAGAACTAACTTCTGAGTGCTCTACTCAGATATTATTAAGCTAGTTTCATGAGTAGTGAGACAGATTAGGAAAGAAGGATGCTTTTAAGTAAAAATGAAACAATATTTCCTTACCTGGCTTTCTCTTAGGTCCTTCGACAACATTCACACCTTTTCTGTGCCTTACCAACACCACACCTAACTTCAGACTCTCCACCCATTGAAACACCACCTGTGACGAAATGTGCGTCCTCGGCCAATTTTAACGATTCCAGGCAGTGCATGTCTCTCTTCCAGCCCTCTCCCTCCTTAAACTGCAAACGCTTCAGACCTGGCTATAAAGTTTATTTTGCGTAGCCCCTGCTCCTAACACACCCCGAAGCTCTCAAAGAACCTGCCTGTTAGTTTACTTTAGCAAGTAAATTATCTGGGAACGCTATCAAGACAAGAGCAGCGTGGGGACCGCGGCCAGGCTACTCCCGGACCCCTGCGCTCCGGTCCCCCGTCCCCGCCCGCCCCCGTCCCCGTCCCCATCCCCGTGCGCTCAGTCTCCCGCTCGGCGCGCCCTGCTACCTGCACCCGTCTCCGCATGTGACCCCGCCATTCCCGCTGCGCCAGCAGCGACTCGTCTGCCTCTTCGTCAAACACATCGTGGCCACCAGGGCTCGGGGTCACAGCAGCCGCTTGAACCCACGACATCCCCGAGGCAACCACGGGTTACCGACCAACGGAAGCGCCGACATGTGCTTCCGGCTTGGGGGCGGGGTGAAGGGGGTAGGCGGGGCTTAGGTGGGTCTGGACTGATTGGGTAGATGCTCGCAGGTCCGCGTGGAGTCGTGGACTTCAGTCCTGGAAGTCTGGGACTCAGTGCCCTGGAGATGTTTAAGCGATTTGACAGCTCGACCTTTTTAACTATTAGGAGCGTGTAGTCAAGAACATGAGAAAAAAAGGCAGATTCTGCGGCCGGTTTGAGATGAGCCTGGAGGACACTGTAGAACCAGGTGCTGCATCGAGTCGCAGCCCCCCAACACCCCAGCCTCGGTTCCTGCCCTGTGCGTGGGAATTCAGGAATAATACTCAAGCAGGGTGCAGGAAGAACCAGATTTATTTAGGGAATGCACACCGGTAGCGTACTTGTTTTGCTCTTTGTGTGAGTAAAATGAGTAGTGTGATAACTGAATTTATTGGAACTGTTTTCTGGAACAGACGCCGTTTTACTCCTTTGAGTTATATCGGTGAACAATAGGGGCCAAAGATCACAGGCCCGTGCAGTCTGCGTTAGTGTAGAAATGACAGACGACAAACCATCAGCAGTATATAAGTAATTCATAATTTGGAGATCATAATGATGAATGGTATGAAAAATCGTGATTGTGGGAAGGGACAATCCCCGTGAGAGTGGGCTGTGGACGTTAGTATTTTAGTTTGTTTTACATTCTCGTGCTGGGGATTGAACCCCGTGCCTTGCACATGTTTGAACATGTGTTCTGCCAGTAAGCTATCTTCTGCAAGTCCCAACATTACTATTTTAAATTTTGCATCCCAAAAATATACGTATGTAAACTAAATATATAGTGTGTTAAGGTGAAAGCATATATAAGCTAATTAGAAACAAAACGGTAGTTAGAGAAGCAATAAAGCTAGTGATTAAAATGAATAAAATAGAAAACCCAAAACTTGGGCTAGCCATTTGGCTCAGAGGCTAATCAAGCCTGATAAATTGAATTTAGTCCCTGGGACCCACAGGAGTGGAGTGCATGCCGTACACACGTGCGCGCGCACACACACACACACACACACACACACACACAGAGCATACACATAAATAAATGTAATAAAAATTTAAAAAATAAAATTCAGTGCTTGCATAAATAAATCCAAACGGTGGTTCTTTGACAACACCAGGGGCTGAAGAGATAGTGTAAGGACCAGAGCAACTCCATTTTGTACAAAGTAACCACTGTAGACTTTAAAAATCAGAGAAGCAGCCAGCTCAAGGTCGGAACTTAGTTGCTTTCCCTTAGAAGAGTGTTTTTCTTTGAAGTAGTTGATGGCAGAAAGGAAAGTGTCACCACCCAGACACTGTAGCTGTGCTTCTTGCCTGGCCAAGGGAACTAACTAAAACAATATCCCATCTTTCTTGGTAAAATGCTGAAATAATGATAATCAGAAAACGCCTTACTGTCAAGGTCTCTATACATTTGCTAAGAAAATGACTAACAATTGTTTGTTTTGGCTTCTGTAAACTTGCTTATTGCTGCATTTAAGGGTCAGTGTGACCCCACTGTCCTTACAACTGCTGATACCACAGAAATGAAGCAGCTTGTGGTTTCTGCTTTTAAAAGACCCTCCCTCCCCACAGCTTCTCTGCAGTCCCTTATCTGGCCTCTGGAGACTGGCAGTCTTGCTGCAGCAATAAAATTTGGCTAGTTAAGATCTGAGTTGGATCTGGTTTAAGAGCACTTGCTGCTCTTCAGAGGACCCTTGTTTTGTTCCCAGCACCCACAAAGGGTAGCTCACAACTGCAACTCCAGCTCCAGGAGGTCTGATGCCCTCTTCTGGCTTGTAAGGAAACCGGTACACATATGACATACACTCACACAGACACATACACGTAAATGCAAATAAATCTTAAAAAATAAAAAGAAAATCCTGTCACTGTCTCTGATTTAAAAAAGAGAACAAAATTATACAAGACAGGAATTAGGAGGTAACCACTAGTGCAGATGAAAAGCATAGATCACTAAAACTCAAGAGCAATGTGTTTTTAATTCTATTTTTTTTTGAGATAAGGTCTCATGTAATCCAATATGTAGCAGAGGATGAGGATGACTTTGAACTTCTGATTGTCTCTATCTCCATCACCTATGGTGGTGCATAGATGTGCATCATCATGCTCAGTTTTGTGGTGCTGGGGATTGAAGCCAGGGCCTTCAGCATACTAGGCAAGCACTCTACCAACTGAGCTGTATCTCCAGGCCCTTAAATGAAATCTCTGCACATTAAAAATGAAACTATTGGCCAGGCATGGTCTACATAGTGAGTTCCAGCCTAGCTGAGGCTACAGGGAGACCCTGCCTCAAAAAGCCAAATAAATAGATAATAAATAAATAAATAAATAAATAAATAAATAAATAGGGAACTGTCTGAGCCAGAGAGATAGTTCAATTGGTAAAGTGCTTGCCTTGCAAGCATGAAGACCTGAATTAGATTCCTAGAACCCACATCAAAAAAGCCATGTGTGGTACTGTGTGCTTGTAATTCCAGTGCTATGGAGGTGGAGGCAGGTGGATCCCTGGGGCTTGCTGGCCAGTCATTGAAGTTTACTTAGTGAGTTCCAGGCCAGTGAGAAAGACTGTCCACTCCTATCCCCAAATAAAGATGGACAGCACCTGAGAAATGACAGAGGTTGTCCTCTGGCTTCTACATATGTGCATAAACATTCACTCGTGCACCTGAATAGAAAGAATGCACACATGAATGCAACACAAATTGTCTTAATGTGTTTTAATGCAGGTCTTAATTTTTTATTAAGATTTTATTTTTATGTATTTAAATTTTTTGATTTATTTAAATTTTTTATGTATATGAGTGTTTTGCTTGAATGTATGGAAGTGCACCCATGTTGTGCAATGCCCACAGAGGCCAGAAGAGGGCATCAAATCCTCTGGAACTGGAGTTAGGGACAGTTGCTAGCTGCCATGTTAGGTGCTGGGAACCGAAACTGGATCCTCTGGAAGAGCAGCCAGTGCTCTTAACTGCTGAGCAATCTTTCCAGTCCCACAATTTTATTTTTGTTTTTAATTATGTATGTATGTGTTTGGGTTTGTGCATATGAGTGCATTGCCCACAGAGGCCAGAATAGAGTGCCAGATTCCCTGGAGCTACAGTCACAGGAAATTGTGAGCTGCCTGATGTAGGTACTGGGAACCAACTGCAAAAGCACCCTGAGCTCTTAACTTAGTTCTCTCTCCAGCCCCTAAAGCAGGTCTTCTTAAACTTTTTCTACTTTTAGCCCTTTTACTGAGAAATTTTTATACAACCACAAAATAGGTATGAAAATCAAACATTTTACTAATAATAAATCACACAGGAACTCATTTAAAAATAGTTATTTGGTATACATATAATTTTACCATGTAGTAAAAGTGAAAGCAAATTTGCATACAAATATATTGGACTTGCTTATTTACTTTTATGTAAAGAATTAAACCTTGGCTGTATAATATGATACAGCAGAATATAAAGCTCCTTCAATGATTTGGAGTTGATTGATATTTTGATTTTACAGTTACTAATTGAGGATGCCACTTCACATAAATATGTAAAGCAAAATGGTAGAAATATGTTTAGGGCCATTTCAGAAATGTTTAGAAATTATGTCATAATCATAAGCCAAAATTCATTTAATGATTTTTATGAAACTCATCACTGGCTCAGAAAATAAAACATTCTAATACAAAGCAACCCAAAGATACACTAATTTGATATTTACAGGGTAAGGAATCATGGTAGGAAAGCATTAAAAGTCTTTGTTTCCATTATATTTCTGTAAGTGCAGAAAACTGCACGTACAGTGAAAACGTTTCGGTTTATGACATACAGTAGTTTTGAATTGGAGGATAGGCGTTGGAAGCAGTGTTTGCTGGTGTTGTGTGGTGTGGCAGCATGTGTGGTGTTGTGTGCGTGTTGTGTGTCCAGACAAGGCAGCAATGAAGTCACATGATACAACATGAGCAAGTGCTGCCAGAAACACCTTGTATTCATTATGTTTGGTTTTGAATTCATCTATTTTTAAAATTTTTTATTTATTTTTATGTGTATGCATGTATTGCCTGCATGTAGGTAAGTGCACCCATGTCATGAAATGCCCATGGAGGACAGAAGAGGCTGTCAGATCCCCTGGAACTGGAGTTACAGACAGTTGTTAGCTGCCATGTAGGTGCTGGGATTTGAACCTGGGTCTTCTGTAAGAACAACCAGTGTTCTTAACCACTGAGCCATCTCTCCAGCCCCTTAAATTCATCTTTTGATTGCTATGCATTCAGAAATCTTTTCCTGTTGCCAGATTTTTCACAACTCCCATATTCAGTTACATGACCCCATATGGTTTGAGAAGCTGTGACTGTGTGTGTGTGTGTGTGTGTGTGTGTGTGTGTGTATGTGTGTGCGTGCGTGTGTGTGTGTGTACGCATGTATGTGGAGACCAAAGGTTAAAGCCCAATGTCTTTCTTGATCCCTCTCCAACTTATCTTTTAAGACTGAACCTGGCACCATGTATTAGTCACTTTTCTATTGTTATGATAGAAACACTGACCAAAGCAATTTATAGAAGGAAGAGTTTATTTGAGCTTATGGTTCCAGGGGAATTACAGTCCATCATGGCAGGGAGGCATGGTGGTTGGAGGTGGCTGGAGCAGAAGCAGCAGAAGCTAAGCTCTCACATCATCATGCAGGCACAGGAAGCAAGAGAGCAATTGAAGATCTCTAAACCCACCCCCAGTGATGTGCTTCCTCCAGGATAGCCATACCTAAAACCTCCCAAAACAGTACCACTATATGGGGACAAAATGTCCAAATACTTGCAGCCTATGGGGGACATTTTCATTCAAACCATCAAATTCCATCCCCTGGCACCCATAGGCTCATGACCACATAAAATGCAAAATGCATTTAGTCCAACTTTAAAAGTCCCCATAGTCATTATCAGTCTCAATACTACTCAAAAGTCCACAGTACAAAGTCTATTCTGA